CATTCCCATCAGATAACTTCCATGCTAGCTAGAAAAATACTTTGTAAGATGATATCAATAAATATAGTATGTGTATGTTGTTTTCTTCATCATTATATTGGAGCTGAACCTATATTGAAGTGTTATAAGCATGTCGGTATTTTTCAAACTAGAAGTTTTAATTTTTCATTTTTAAATTTCAACTATATCTACATTTTATGTATATTGTATGTTGTTTTCTTCTATTTACTATTGTATTGGAGCTGCACTCACATGGCAATGTATTTTTAATAACATATGTCGTTATTTTCATTTTTTTATTTTCAGTTTTGAACTATATCAACATTTTAAGTTTTTTAGGTACAATTATTTTCAATGTCTAGAATGTTAGTAATACGTTTTATATAATATTGTATATAAGGGTTACCTATTTTAATAAATATATTCTTCTTTTTATTTTTCTCCTTCTTCTTCCTCAAAGTAATATCTGAAAAAATGTGTACTCTGTACTATAACGTGATGGCTACTATAATGATCTGGTAGAAATGACCGAATTTACTAATATCTCTGAAGTGACCTCAACTTAATAATATTATAGAACGTACCCTTATTCATCAAAGTTAATTCATCTTTGATGTGGCTTGCTTGAGGTTTCCATGAAAACTTTGACGTCCCTTTCAACGTTATGTGAATATGTATGATGTTTCACTGAACTTAACTGAACTGAAGGTGAATATGACCAGAGAGGATGTGAATTTCAAAAAATAGTATATGCACTGTGAATATACGAGGTCTGTTCAAAAAATACGGTGAATTTTCGTTTTTCTCAGAAAGTATTCATTTATTTATCTCCTTATATTTTGTTCTTCCACGGCTGGCGTCGATGTTTTGGTTGGTTTCCGGGTCTTACCGTGGTCTTCTTTAGTTATAATTACCAAACGTTTCGACTGCAACTGCGAATGTCATCTTCCGTGGCGTGGTCGAAGTACTTTTCTTGACGTGTCAACTGACTTCGACCACGCCACTGAAGATGACTGCTGCAGTTACAGCCGAAACGTTTGAAGATTATAACTGAAAAAGACCACGGCAAAACCCGGAAAACAACCAAAACATTCGCAGCCACTTCTTTAATAGTGATTCGACGTTTCTTCATAATAATTTTTCTCACTTTCTCAACATTCGTTTGTTGATGTGCTGGGGCGACTATGGCAAGAGTCGGTATTCTTGGACTTTCTGTGAAAATCGTGTACCACTTGCGAACATTTTTAAGAGAAAGGCGGGATAGCACTGATGCTGACCAGAAGAAAGAAAGACATGTGGGCTGAAACCAGACATGATGTATTGGCCCTATACCATGGTGATTACACTCATGATAACACAATATGCAACTATGGTCTAGTGGCCAAAAATGAAACAATGCAGGGTGCAAGGACTTGCATGTTTGGAAACAACGAAAGCAATGAATCCCTCCAACCAACATCTACATTGGAGACACGCTTGGATCTTTCTGCTTTGCAACTTGTGATAACTGGAAAGTAGGAGTGAGCCAATTCAAAGTATCTAGATTCAGACTCTGGGTTCAGTTCGAGTGTGAAAGTGATTTCCAAAATAATGATCGAGCACATTGTAGATCATTTTTCATGACATTTTTTTTCAGTCCCATTGACTTTTTTATTACGATCGTTTCTCTAACTTGTGTTTGGAAAAACTTCTCTTATTGGAATAACAAATTCACTATACACTAAATCAATATCATTCTAGGAACAAACTCATTAAACTGAACATAAAGTATATACAGAACTACCCAAAACCTCATATAACTTTTTACCCTGATTACCGATTTCATCGTTACGAAACAAATTCAACAAAAAGGAATCATTCAAATCTGTTAAGTTATTGAACAATAGTTTAGAATTCTTTAATCTATCGATTTCAGAATATTTGAAAAGATTGGGATTTGAACCTTCATTTTTCAAATGCAATACTTCGTAATCATGATTGAACTTGTGCTCCTTTTTCAAAACCTGTTTTGCAAATGTTGAAATTGTCTTCTCATTCAAATACTAGATACTTGTATTGTCTTTTATTCTTTAGAAGAAAGATCTTCCTGTTTGGCTGATATAAATTTAGGACAAGAACCACAAGTCAACACATATACTTTCAATGCAACCCAATAAATATATACTTCCAACGTTTCTCAAATTATAACTTGTTATGCAGGCAACGAGTATGTCCAAATGTTTGTTTAACAGAGAACAAGCGATATTGTTAGCAGGTTCACCAAAGTAGGTTAATTTCACATAATTATTCTCCTGATCGGTTTTTTAAAATTGGATAGACGTGTATCACAGCAAGTTTCCGTAGTTTCAGTTCTTTTTGAAAAATTTTTTCTGAATGTAGAATATCAAAAAGTCTGTAGAGCTGCCACTTCATGCTGAAATGGATGTGTAGATGGATTACGTATGATAAGATTGTTTGTGGAAAATTACAAAACCATGTTCATTATCAGTAGTAATAGACGAGTCTAAAAAACTGATTGAGCTATTCACTTCCATCTCGTTGGTGAATTGAATTGAAGTGTGTATGGAAATGAAAAATTTGATAAACTTGCAGCTAAGGCTAATAATGGTAAACCCTTTGAGTCCTTTGAAAGCTAAAATTTTGATGTATGACATGAGGAAAAAACTCCATAATAATTATCAAAAGGTAAAACTGGGACCTCTGGCGTGAAATGGTCAAAACAAGCAGTTTTTCCACACACTGTAATATGGTTGATATAATGCGCGCCGAGAAAAGTATTGCAGTTCTGGTGTTTGGGGAAAGTGACAGTTTTGAAAGTTAAATTTTATGTTAATTCTACATTTGCATGAAAATTTTGAATTTTCTTCAGAAATTGTTTTGCCTGTGGATTTGACAAATCAATAAAAATTACTATAAAAGATGAAGTGTCAATAAGTTACAATATTGGAAAATGAACGATTATATTCTCCTTCCTCCATCAACGTATAAAAAGTGACAAACACCCCCGATACGAATACCGACTTCATAGCTATATTGATGTGGAAAATACTTCTCCCCTTTTTTCGCGTGGAAATGGGTTTGATTGCGTTATTTCTCTTCCAGGGCTAGCAACGTATCGGGCGAGAGGTCGCCCTTTGATGGCTCCTGCTGTGGGTCGGGCTATCACACAGTGGACTCCACTCCTTTGGGATCTCCCGAGGAAATAGAGGTGCCAAAGTACAGGGTGGTGCTGCTGGGAGATGCAGGAGTCGGTAAAACGGCACTGGTCTCGCAGTTCATGACTTCGGAGTATATGAATACTTACGATGCTAGTTTGGGTGAGTAACAATATTCATTGCTGTTCATAACTTTGCGTTTCAGTATATTCTCCAAGGGATACCTATTTGGAGAAAATGCCAATCTTGTGAATGAAGTGCCTTCTTTGAAAATGATTTGGGAACCAGAAATGTTTTCAATACCCACTATCCACCACAGTTATGGCGTAATTCCATAAATACGATTTCAGTATTCAGTATTATACCACATTATGTTCTAGCTCTCAAACTTTACAATGGAATAAAAAATTTTAGAGTGGAACACACAAAAAGAATGTTATGTACTTTCTACTAAATGAACAATACTCGAAAAAACAATGCTCTTTCAACAAACAATATTGATAAGTGCTTTCGGTACGAGCCGTGGCAGATTCCTTGCGTTGATTTTTGTAAAGATCGGTAGGCCATATAGACGTGGTGGAGGAACCTCGGATGTTTTAAGGAGTTTTCTAGACCTGATGAACACAATTCGTTCTTTTCAAATTTTCGGTGGTTGAGTTTTGATTGAGTTTCGAGTAGATCCCTCTATCAAGTAAGATGGTCAATCTCTCCTTGTATTCTCTGTTGTTCATCACGACCGTGGCATTTCCTTTATCAACAGGCAGTACTGATATATCCTCATTCCGATATATCCGTTATTCAGATCATTCTAGACGTATTCTTTCCATTCACACTGCAGTACTCTAATATTTTATAGTTACACTATTGAACGTTTGTTGATGCGCATAGTAAAAGGTTCTAAATTATCATCTTTTTGAGTTCTATATCAGAGACAATAACATTTGTTTCCTGAATGAGAAGAATGCTCTGCTGCATTATGAAATCAATTTGCCAATGCTGCTACATCAGATTTGTGGTTTGATGCATACGATCAAATGTTGAAGTATTCGTATTCAGGTACGTTTTTCCTTTTCATATGAAATCGCCGCCTATGGTCAAAATTTATGCTTCAATATTTGAATAAAATTGAATTTCAAAACGACTTTGTGTATATTCAGAAATATGCGACCAAGCCAAAGTATTCAACCAATGTATCCGCAAAATTACTAAGATGATGCTTGGAAAAATTTGTTGTAATGTTACCGTTTCACCATGAACATTTTAGTGATTTTCATTCCCATTCTAGACCAATGAAAATCAATTAAACCATTCATTGATTGAGGAAAGCTACTTAATTCAGTAATTTATACTGTTATAGACACATAACAACCGTCATAAATAATTCTGACTTCGCATGTTCAAGATGTATTTGCAAGTGAAATTACATGAACCGATTCCATTTTCTGCAAAAGTGATATGGGGGTGGTAACAAACGTTTTCACAATGAATATTTCTCATATATTGAATAGCTCTGATTTCTAAATTATATTCAACATCATATATCAACGAAAGGTGGTTTTTTTAGCGAGCATGCAACAAATATATCTTTGTCATGCGAAATAATTGTATTCGTATTTATTTTTACCAGACCCTGAATTGCGTACAATACGTGAGAAACTTTTGTGGGATAGGTATCTTAAACATTTCAAAGAAATATAAATAACGTCCATTTCATATTATTGCATGCCTTTCATTTACTTGGCTTTCTTTAATACTCGTGTACATGGCGTCACATCTAAATTGGGCGGAAATGAAGAACATATTTCAATTCTACAAATGCCAGTGGGTTGAGAGTCAAGAAAGTCAATTAAAACTTTTTGATATTGAAGATGGCGCAGCGACTCGAATTTTTTTTTTCTATTTCGAAAACTTTCGAATATGGTATATTTCAAATTGAAAGGAGTATATTTCTAGGAGACATTAGTTCATAGGGCATTGAGTAAGGAATATTTTTCATCATTTGATTTTTTTTAATGAAAATTGTCATTATAGAGATATTTGAGATCACTTGAAATAATTTTTCGAAAACTCAAACGACGGTTAGAAAATTCTCAACATTAAATACAGAATGTTGAAATCCAAAAATTAAAATTATTTTTTTTCAGAACTTCTGAAATATTCATTATTTTTCAATGAAATTCTAGGTGCCATCTCAGTAGGAGGAGCTTATTCTATTAATTTTAAGGTCAAATTTCTATACATTTGGATAATCACTGTTCAGAATTGACTCTGGATATGAAAAAAATAATGAGGAAATCGCAAATAACAAAGACAGTATTTTCTGCATTGACAAGGAGCATTACCAATATGCAAGCATCGATCCATCTTACTTAATCATCGTTTACAACTCTGAATAAAGTTTCATTCTAAATTTAGAGTTTTTATCTATCAACCATATGACTTTTTCGTAGATCCTGTTCTTAAAATATTCTCATAGGAAAATGACCAGTGAGTTCAATTCAGGTGATCTCCCTGGTCATTTAAGTGGTGTATCAACTCAATCTACTTATTAGCAAAATTTATGATAATAAATACAAATTTTCATCATATAGAATTTATTTCCGATACAACTATAACAGACGATTCCTGTGTTGGACCGAGGAAATCACGAATGAAACATCAACCTTGTTTCCTAGACGACATATCTAGTGTTACCTATGAATCAGTGTGGCATGATGGTTTACTGGCCAATCTTCGATACTTTGACTTGTCGAATCATTTTTGTGTATGCATGGCTCTCCAGCTTCCTGAAAGAACTTTCCCTGCAAGTTTGGTTTTTTTTGGTACCTTGGGAGCTGTCTGACTTGTCCATTTAGTCCAAGTCTCCAGAAAACACTGCAGCCTGTACGTATTGCGTTTATTCTCCATCAGTCTCATTTCCTATACTAGTTTGTAAGGTAGCGTGTTGGATATTTATCATATTCTTCTGGACGTAATTTCGTACGTCCATATATTGCCTGCCTATGAAAGTAACCAGGTTCAATTCAATGCCACAAAAATCCAGGCATCCGTTTTCTCCAAAAAGATAAATGTCTTCGAACCGGATATAATAATTTCATGTCAGGCAATTCCGTTTTCTGCTTCGATAAGTTTGTTGGGGATTAAAATGGACACCAATATGTCTCAGCACAATCATGTGGCTGGAATTGCAAAGGCTGCTTCTCAAAAGCATGGAACACTGTTCCGAACCAGAAAACTGTACACATCTGAGCAACTTTTGATGCTTTATAAAGCTCAGATCCGACCTTCTTTGGAGTATTGTTCTCGTATATGGTGCTCTGCCCCCAAACATACCCTGAAGTTGCTGGATTCTATTCAGAAAAGAGACATCCGCCTGATTGGAGACGCGAACATCACGTGCAACCTTGATAGCCTGAAACATCAAAGAAAGGTTGGAGATATGTCTCTCTTCTTTAGATACGTGTTAAAGTGACTTGGCACATTTGATTCCACCAAGAGCGGTACATATCAGTAATACGCGACGACCTGTGGCTGCTTATCGTTTTGAAGTTCAACTCATTACACCTCGAACTTCACTGTTCAAAAACTTTTTCATCTGGAGAACTGCGTTTATGTGGAATAAACTTCCTGAGAATGTGTTTCCAAATGCATTTAATCTTCAGCGTTTTAAATCCAATTTGAATCGCTACTTTTGCACAGGCACCGATCTGATAGCGTCTTGAGGATTTTCCTGTAGTGCTCGTGTTTTGTTCTTGAAAAAAAAGTATTGAGAAATGGTCATTTTCTATAGCAAACCTTTGAAAGAAAAAAATAGGAATTTGAAATGCATCAGCCCATCTCACAAGTTTAAGTAAATCGCGTTATTTTATACTATTTTTTTGAGATTTTTTATTATATGCACATCCAGTTCGTCGTATTACACAACATAGATTTCATAATGGATTACATTTTTTACTTGAAGTAGACTCCTGAATAGATGAATAAATCATCACTCTCCAAATTTCAACAACAACACAAATATTGTTCAAACTGAAGAAACAGTATATCTTAAAAAAATAAATTTTGAACCTGTTAGCCGTTTACTATGCAGGGAGAATAACATTTTCGTGATCTTATTGAGGTAATATCAAATTGCTATCAATTTCATGCTTAGTATTCCCTCTCGTTTACACGCTTTGTAGTTTGAGGTTGAATTTCATTTCATTTTACCGAAAACGTTCATGTTGGTCTGTTAAATTTCATTAGGAAAATCTTCCCTGCGAGTAAGCGATCTCTGAAACACCATATTTATTTCTAAAAGGGCAACAGGTTCAAGCAGATACGGGTTTCCAGAGTGCTTCCATGACGACGCTTACCTTTTGGACTTCTACGTTCGATACGTGTGTTTATTAACTCAATTCCTGATAGAGTATTGACATGTGATTAGAAGTACTTTGTTATCTAATACTGTTACTCACTGTTCGAAGTGATAATTATAATAAGCAGATACTAATAATGAATTGAATTGAATAAACAAAAATGACAAAGTTATAAGAACGCTAATTATCAAAGGAACCCTTTGTTTTCCTGAATTAACATTTTTCTCAACCTCAGGGAAAAAATCCGGAACTTTGAAAAGTCACTAATCAAAAATTCTAGAAAAATTTCATTCATCCGTGCAGTTCCCTTAGGCACCGTATAGAAGTAACCACAAGTAAATTCACTCCCGTCGGCCTCTTTGATGTTTNACTAGACACGAATTTTTCACAAATACAAAACCACCACTTACAACGTCACACTCTGTAATAACATTCCGTGATTCAACTAGGCTCGCTTGGTAAATCTATCAGATTCAGTCGGTTGCGCAGTAGGTTCGCTGAGCATAAAATTCGAGGTGGGGAATCTTGACCCAATTATGGCGAAGAGTGAACTTACTTGTGTTTACTTCTATACGGTGCTTTAGGAGATCCAAGATTTCACATCCATGTGTGACCTCATTTTGAATCATACGTATGCTATCACGGATTTTTCTGTGTAAATGTACAAGAAAACAATATGTAATGGATTATTTTGTTGTATTTGAAATGGATAAAGAAGCGTTCTTGATGAAAACTTCCCGGCTTCCCATGGCAGTGCGCCACTTTGACCTACGTGTAACATCATCATCTTTCAACAAATTTATACAAAATGTTAATGGAATATACACTTAAACTTCGGTAAAATTTCTTTTATGGCATTCAGATGAATGATCAGATGTGGCCGGGGACACTTTGTTTAAGAATAGGTAATATATGGTGATGATGACTGGATTGACTTTTTTGTCGATCCCAGAAATATCATCGACCCTATTCACCAAAAGGCTTGTCCTTTAAGTGCAATTGCGTCTAGCAATGCATTCATCATTCCGCCTAGCATCACTAATCAAACCCTTGGTGTATTCTGATGTAACGACACAAATGATATGCTTTTGGGTGGTGGCTGTTTATAGGCAGGTACTTGATCATGTTGAAAAAAATGAAATTTCAATAAATAATCAATCTGGATTTCGTAAAAAATATTTATGTGAATCCGCACTACAACTACTTTATCAAAATTCATAAAAAAAAGTTGATAACAATAAATTTGAAACAATTGACCGTAATTCTACTAATAAAATTGAGAGGTTATGGCATTGATGGTGATGTTTACCAAAATGGTTGTCTGACTATTTATTCCATAGAAAGTCAGAGCTCAAGAAAATATCTCACAGGAATTGGATATACATATAGGTGTGCCGCATGGTAGCGTTTTAGGACCTCTGCTTTTTATCTTATACATATTACATAGACATAAACTTGTTTATAAATGTTGATTTTGTAAATATATTTGCAGATGATACACTATTGGCATGCTACGATACATGCTTAGATAAAGCTATTGATAAAATGAATGCCGCATTAAATGATGTGAATGAGTACCTCATGGCAAATAAATTGAAACTGAATGAAATGAAAACTAAAGGAATGATTATGACAACAAAATATAAATGAAACAACCTTGATTTAAATGAAGTAAATCATGTATCAAATATCTTGGATTCCAGTTAGATAATTTATTACTTTTTGGCAATCATCTCGATTATATATGTAAAAAAATACCAAAAAAACTATATTTCTCTGTAAGAATTTCTGGTAATTTGTCCACTTAGTTGAAATTACTGTATACAATGCGATTATCTAACCATATTTTGATTACTGTGTTTCTATTATTTTCTTGTTTAATCTAAATCAAACTTCTCAATTACAAAAACTTCAAAATCGCGGTATGCAGCTACTTTATAGTAGAAGCGACAACGCCGCGGCATGTAGGTCATATTGACTTATGCATACTGTGGAATTTTCAGATAGATCCGAGCGTTAATTAGCCAGAAACGGCTAATTAACGCTCATCATGAAAAGCCCTGTATTTATAGCTACAATAAGCCATTTGTTACTTTCGTAGGATTAAATAATGATATACTGTCACAAATTAATGAATTCACTGTCTTAAACAAATTTATTTCCAATTATATTTCACTAGTCACAAACTAATTCATTTACAACACTTAGCAACTAACGCTTAATTTATTTCTACTATTTGAATTTCTTGTTTAACCGCTCGATTCACTTTCTGAACTCCCTCTTGGGTCAGGAAGCCGGGTTCATATAGGTAACGGTTCTTTCTAGAAATCTACGGTTCGATACTCAACTAGAGTTTTACCGGAGGTTGCCGACTGCATTCCTTTTAGCGGTGATGTCATGTGTTTGTTCGCTGGCCGGCATATCGGTCAGAGGCGGCATAATATTCGTTACATTCTCCCCTTCTTAAAGACGTTTCGCCCCGAAATGTCATCCTAGGCGTGTGTCGATACCTGCAGGACTCTCCATATCTGCACTGTGAAGTTCGATGGAAGTAACACTCCACAGTTTCCATGCTCGGTCGTGGAAGATGGTTACCGCACACCAAAATCTTGATGCTGCTGGATGTGAATATCGTTTCCAACATGCCTCTCACAATTCTCCAATCCAGCCTGTCGAGCCCAGAGGCTAGTCTCGGGATTGCCAAGACCACAAGATAAAAAGCAGTTTTTCGGGCGTAATTACACGATTTCCAAAAATAACAGGTTCCAGATTCCTTCTTATGTTCTTCAAACTATACACTCATTCTTGTATACTTAGTTGTTGAATTGTTTTTGACGGCATCTCTGCTCGTAAATTACTTCTTCCATCATTTACTGAATGAACACCATATCTAGGTAATAATAACTCCGTTCTTGCAATCGCAGTCCTTGTTTGGTGGCCTGGTTTTCGTGAGGCAGCTACGGATAGTGTTCCCAGATCTGAAACAGGTTCTGATGTTATATTTGGACCCAATCCTTCTTATTCTTTCCGACAATCCTATGATGTACGAAAGTACGAGTACTGGTTGTGGCGGCTTCTCTTCCCTGTGGAGCTTTTGCTGTCTTCTAGCTAAAGCCTGTTCCACCATCACTTGGGAGTAATCATTCCGTTGAATGTCATTTGTGATGATGTCTGGTTCCTTTTCGAGACCTTTCTTTGTATTACAGAGCCTGAAAGCACGGTCTAGTAGATTATACTTGTTTTAAGGTAATTTGAATGACTTTGATTTCACAAGTTTGTTGAACAGGTCCTTCAACATCGTCCATGAAAGTTTTTTAAATAATAGTTACTCTTGAAAAGTAGAGGCACGAGTGCAATAACTAAGATTTGATTGTTCAATTTCTGTTGAGAATGTGTTCAATCCCGGTTGAGAATTTGTTCAAGAATTACTTGCAAGATTATAGGGACAAATTTCACATGTAAAATTGGCTTATCAAGACGACGTTTCCATAAAACAAAATACAAAAAACTTGGTTTCAATTGTTTTTTCACGTTGAAGTGTCAAACAGAAAACTTTCAAGGTAAAAAGTGGAGTAAAGCTCGCATCCTTTTGAAACTGCTTGAAGAATATGAGAACGTCGTCGATCTCGGTTATTTCGATTTTTTTTTTTCTGAAATTCTGATTATTATATTTTTATTATGTCCAGAGTAACAATTCTTATTTGTTTCAGATGACGAATTTGGAGAGAGGACTGTTTCTATTCTGCTGGACGGGGAGGAATCAGAAATGATTTTCATCGATCATCCTTCATCTGAAATGTCGGTTAGTTTCAAAATTACAAAACTTTGAATAGTGTGCCTTTCCCACTATTATAGATTCTGTAGTTTTCTTAGTGAGATGCCGCATTTGAGTGAATTAGTTTGTATTAAAATTGTTATTTTAGTCAAGGAGGGATGCAGATAAGAAGATATTGCGCGGAGAATGCATATCCATCAAATGATATTTTCTCGTCTTGTGAAGCGATAGATACAATGAGACTGGGGAGTACAGATGGCGGCCTGGTCAAGGACGTAACAGATGTACAATGCCAAGAGATGACCGATATTTGAAAATTCAATCTTTGCGAAATCGCATGCTTACAGCTCCGCATCTCAGAAATGTCAAAACCGTAATAAGAAGACACAAAAAGTTGGTTTAAATCGAAAACGCCTCGCCAGTTCCTAGTTCCTGCCAAGAATACAGTTATGAAAACTAGATGGACGTGGTCGAGTATCCAGAAGATCTGGAGAACGTTTCGCAGAATGTAATCTTGTACATAATGTTAGCTTTGGTGGTGGTTCCATTATGTTGTGAGGTGGCATTAGTTGGGACAATCACATCAAGCCTATAGAGGTGAATTTAAGAATAAACGCTGACTGGTACATACGCAACATTCTTGAAGAGCATGTTTTACCATACGACGCGGCGGCTTCATTTATTACGACAATTTCGTGCTAATGCATGATGATACTGGTGCACATGCTGCAAGAACAGTCACCCAGTATCTTGAAGTTGTTGGACTTGAAGCAGTGGAGTGGCCACCAAACAGTCCTGACGTAAATCCCATAGAACATTTTTCGTACATCTTTAAAAGACATATTCGAGCACGAAATCCAGCTCCTAACTCAATTGCAGAATTAAGAATTGCTGCACAGGAAAAATGTGATCGAATTCCACAAGAAATCATCAAATACCTTTTCGAAGTGTGCCAGGAGGATGCATGCTATCGTTAGAGGTAGGAGGGAAATACTAAGTGATTAAATGTTATTATGTTGCCTCAAAGAACTTCCATTTTGTCGTCATTGTTGCTTGTTCTGATTGAAAATTATTACCAAAACTACAAGTGTGTTATAAAGATTCAATATCTGGATTATTTGGCAATCAATATACGTTAAATATTTCAGTATATACAATTCAGATGAATAATAATACAATTAGGCGTAACTACGTTCAGCTGCCTACGGAATAGCTACGACAGTTGAGTTGGAGGCGGATTGGAATATCTAGAGGCGTTAATTCCATTTGTTTGTTCCAAATCGGAAATAAGTTGAGAACTTGCATGCTGATTCGAAAATGATTTCAAATATTTCTTGGTCATAAGACTGTCATTCACTTGTTGCCATCATCAACATAGAGTCGATGATATGCCATAATCAAAATTCGAATTGCTTTCAGTGTATCATTCCTCGAACTAAGCTGAAGCGAACAATAATCAATATGTTTGTCATCGCTCCACCTGGCAAACGAGGTACTAACCAACCGCATACCCGAAATTCGCCAAAGAAAACTTTTCACATATAGTCAGTGGACATACTTGAAGATTGTCTATAAATCAAATCATCTGTAGGAGTAATTCGTTCAGGCAGGTCTCAACTCCCTACACTTTATGTTAATGGACTGACACCTGTCAGAAAACAACTACTCCCCTGGCTAATACCACGAAGGGTGTTGGAAACCGGTCTGCATGTGTGCCCGTTCAATAATTTAAAATCGATTCCGACAGTTGTAACGCAAACAGCATATGCAGGAAATACTTCAGTGAAGATTACTGCACTGACACCTGTCAGATACAATCCAACGCCCTTCGTGGTATTAGCCAGGAGAGTAGTTGTTTTCTGATAGGTGTTATTCCATTAACCTACAGTGTAGAGAGTTGAGACTGGCCTGAACGAACTGTTCCCTTAGATCAACGCTCGGCAACAGGCGGACCGCCAAATATTGTAATGTGTTATATACGAAGTATAGAAATTAATAGATAAGGTATATATACTATACTTTTATTAATTGAAGTTATATTTTCAAGCCACATAGAATCCAACTAAGTATGTACTTTTTTATTTCAAGTTGCCTAGTCAACCTGTTTTACAAGTACCTACAACTGATATGGTTTTATTAGTTTCATATCTACCCTGTTTGTATGTGTGTCTGTGCGCGCTTGCCACTATTTTGTTTCGTTGAAACAACAAAAAAGTGGCAATATCGACTAATATCGATTCTGAAGAGCGTGAAGTGGACAGTGAAAATATGAATGGACTGAACAATATTGTTTTACGCTACCTAATAGGCCTCAAGCGGTTCCAGTGTGCCTTATATGCAATAAAACTGTCGCTATTGTTAAGAGTGATAATTTGAAGCGACACTACGAAACAACTCATCAGCAATTTCACAAAAACTTTTCTCTTGGCAGTAAGGCTCGTAAAGAAAAACTTCATGCATATCTCAGTTCTCACAGAAAAAAACACAAAATTACTAGTTCGTTGCATGAGCGAGCAATAAAAATCCACAGATGCAGCGCTACGTGTGTGCTGGACACTAAATAAACAGCAGAAACCACTTTCAGATTCTGAGATGGTGAATATATGTATGTTAGAACTAGTCACGGCACTTCTTGAAGAAAAAAAGATGACGCTGCATTATCAAGTATTCCATTATCAGCGAGAAGTAATACACGAAGAACGGATTTTTTTGCTGCTGATATTAAACACACTTTTCTTGAACTCCTGTATAAGGCACCTTGCTACGCCATAGCACTTGATGAATGTCTATTTTCGTTAGTTTTCTTGATATTGAGTGTCAGATTTTTAGGGAAGAGTTGCTAGCAATATTGCTGTTGAGAGGTTACACTCGAAGAGAAGATTTATTCAAGGTCATTGATAAATTTATTACTAAGTCTAACATTAGTTAAGATAAAATAGTGACAAAATGTTCATTGACTGAGTAAAAGTCAAGTTATTGAAAGTTTCTGGCTGATAAAAGAAGAAGTAACCTCCTTCTTGCAAAATTTAGATACGGAGGGCGCCAGAAAGCACAAACAAGCGTAATATGCTGGTCGTGGCTTTTTTTAAAGATATTTTGAAATATTCAAATGCGCTCAACACAGAATCACAAGGAAATGGCAAATTAATATGTGATCTGATACAAAACGTGTTTGCTTTTCATCGCAAGCTGGATATCTTTAAAAAAGATATTGCAAGACAGGAATTTATT